CCTTCTGGCTTTCCGTCAGTGGTGCCCTCTCCTGGCTCCTTCTTTTTTAAGGCGTCATTTTGCCCATCTTCGTTCCCTCCTGGCACTACAGGTTTCTCCACAGGTCCTTTGTCCAGCACTTTATCGCTGGTTTTCAGTGTGTTTGCAGGCTTCTGATCACTCGTTTCCGCAGGCGTGTCACTCTGAACCGTTTCGTCAGTGTGCTGCCCCTGATTCCCAATTTTAACATTTCCAACCATAGGGTTCGCTACCTGACCGTGTGTCTTGTCCTGTTCCGGCGTAATTTGTTTCACGGCTTGTGTGTTTGCACTGCCTGCTTGTTGTGTCCTGTCCACACTGCCCATTGCATCCTGATTGCCCTTGGTCATGGACTGATCTGCTCCTTTGTCTCCTGACTTTTCATCATTCGTTTTCACTGCTGGTTTACTTGCTGCTTTGTTAGTGATGTGTTTCTCTCCTGCTTTGGATCCTGCATTGTCATTGCCATTTGGTTGATTTGGTTTGATTTGCTCAGAGAGTGCCGGAAGGTTTTCTGTTGGAGCCCCTGTAAATAATTTTAAAAAAGTTTTAAAAAGAGGAGTTTTAACTAGCAGAACACAGGGCATGGTGACAATAACAGAACAACTGAATATAATGCTGTCTAATAATAAATACCATGAATGCTGCCATTGTGAGTTCTGCACTGCTGACCTAGATACATGAGTTAGGTTTTCCTCATTACTATTCCTTATTTGTTTCCACTGCAAACTTTTGAATATTATTTTTGCACTACTTGTCTGTTCAGTCCCATCGTGTTAGCAATGTCCTCTGTCTTATTCTTGTCAGTCTCCCTATCTTGAATTAAATTAGCCGAGATGATTTGATTAGATTATTAGATTATATGCTGTAAAAAGCATAGCATAAAGGCCATAACATTAAGGTAGAGGAAGTAGCCTCCACACACTGAAATGTTGGTTTACAGGCTGAAAAAGGACAAATGACAATACAATTAACTGTAAATGCTATTATTTCCTAAAAATGAGGTGTTTCCTAAAAACATAGAAGAGTGATGCACCTTATTTTGGAATCTTAAGTCACGATAATTATTGGGGGCGATAATGGCAAATTTGTGTTATTATAAATTATCCCGATAATTAAATTACAGCCAATAAATTATTGATCGATGAACATATAGTTAACAATAGTTACTATAACAGAGCTGTAGAATATTACATTATCTTTGCTGACTACATCTTAGCCTTTGTTACCATCAGGTGTGTAAAAACTAAAGGTTATGAACAAAAATACGAAATTATCGCTTATCTTATCTCTAGGTTAGCAGCTGAAATCGTACAATCCATATCCTGCATCCCTCATTTTGAGAACATCTTGTGTTTTGAATTTTATGTAGTCACATTTCTGTTGATACCAGATATTAGAGCAGTTTGTTTTTTGTTGGGCAGAAGTGTGTGATTGTTTAAAAAAAATGACACACACATAGCTGCCACTTTTTACAAAGCTTATCATTTTATTTGTGCTTCTTTTATTCAATTATTTGTATGCCTTTAGTGGACAGCAACAATAGAGAGGCAACAGGTAAATAGAGGAAAGAGAGAGGAAATGACACGTAACAAAAGGTCCCAGTTGTCGATATGAGGTTAACATTATAAGCTTCCTAAATGTAATGAACTTATGGCAGAGCTGCTGTACTGGATTGCATTAGATTGTACAGGTCTATATAATTAAGTAGCCGCTGAGAATGTCCTAGGTGTACCCATGTGACTGATTACTATAAGATTAATACACCTACTTATCAGGGCTGGCTTAAAGACCAGGCAAAACAAGGAACGACCACGTGGGCCCAGATGGTCTTGGTAATCTGACATTTAAAAATCTGCTAGGGAAGGAACCAATTATAACAATTAAGGCCCTTCCTGTGTGTCAAAGTCTAGTTTTAAGTCTATATTGTGCCCACACTGTGTGTATTCCTAACTAAAACTGTCTCAGCTTAAATTGTTTTTAAGCTGAGTTTTTAAAAAAACAGTGGGATAATTTCAAAATAAGAGTGCGGTTTGTCTGGGCGTTTAATTAAGATGCTATATATAAACTGTTGTGTACACTGCACTTCTGGGGAACCTGGAGGCGGCAGATATCATGATGGAAAGCAGCAGGTGTGGGATGGGACTGTGGCGTCAATAGTTCCAGGTCCCAGGGTTTGCTCATGTTTAACAAGGGAGATGGCCCAATGAGAGCACCCTGGTGATGGAAATACTGGTTCCTTAAGTAAAATGGTATGTGAACTATAGTTTAGAGAATATTATAAGAGAAAATAGAGAAAAGGGCGCAAGTGCAATGCCTAAAGCCATGTCATAATGTCTCACTGCCATTATATTGAAGGAGCCTAGCAGTTGTATCAACATCTGTAGTCAGTACTCAACAACTGACAAATGAAGCACAATTCAATAATATTCCAACAGTGTTTATCGTCAGCTTTTTACATTGAACTGGAGAGATTATAAATAATAAGTACTCTAATAATAAATAAACGCATTAATGAGCCTTGGCTGCCCATGACCCTGTCTCCGGTTCACTGCTTTTCCTTCCTTGGACCCCTTTTGATAGGTACTGACCTCTGCAGACCGGGACAACCCCACAAGAGCAGCAGGTTTGGAGATGCTCTGTCGTCTAGCCATCACAATTTGGCCCTTGTTTTTCCTGCTTCTAGCACATTGTCTTTGAGGACAAAATGTTCACTTGCTGTCTAATATATCCCAGCCACTGACAGGAGCCATGATAACCAGATAATCAGTGTTATTCTCTTCACCTGTCAGTGCTCACAATGTTATAGCTGATTGGTGTAAAATACAGCAGAGCTTTTAAACAAGGGCTTGATTTTAGAAAACTAAATCCCTTTTTCTTATTTTATGTTAACTCCCTTTATGGCGATAAATATTGTTACTACTCGGCTACTTCAGTATATAAGGCATATATATATATTTATTTATTAGGGCTGCACAATTAATCGCAATATTATCAAAATCGCAAGAAGCTGCAATTTTTTAATAAAGGTAAAGTGTGTCAAAACAGCATCATAATGAAGTACAGTAAAAAATTCCCTGGCCTACAAATCTTGTTCACAACAAATGTCACATCATCACAATTTTATTTTATTTTTTTAATGAATCTTAAAATTGTGACACAAAATTATCATTCACATTAATCTGTATATTCATAGGTCTGTCTAGCCTATATTTTTCTGCTATATACACATATACATATACATATACACACACACACACTTCTCACATTCTTCACAATTCTAATTCTATTTGTATATTTTTCTACTTTATTATGTCTTTTAATGTGTATTTCTTCTTTTTCTTATCTGCTGTGTTTTATCTGGAGCTGCTGTAATGTGTGACTTTCCCCAGTGTGGGATCAATAAAGTCTATCTTATCTTAATGGTGAATTATTTCGTAACATCTGTCAAAATAACAGCAAAATGATACAAATACATATATATATTTATTCTTTTAAAACATATGGCGGAGCCCTAAAATAAAGTAGCATCAGTTTGTTGTGTCATTTTGTTTTGCTATACGTATTTTTCATTTTGTGACAAATAAATTGCTCAACTTAACATATTTGCAGTCAACAATTAGCTATTTCTTTTTCACACAACGAAATAAAAATTAAATAAAAAAATGAATCTGTTTCGGTTCCTTTAAACAGCAGGTACACGTGGATATATATAACGTTATATATACACACACACATATATATATATATGTCTATTAAATGTAAAATACTAGATTTAATTCTCATTCAATCGGACACTTTGAAACAGGGTTCTTCTCTTCGTTAAAACAAGTGATATTTTGCCATATAAATATATATATAGATATATAGATATACCATCTTAATTGGCTAACCGGGATTATGGAGGAGACAAACAGGTCTGATGGAGGAATATCGTTACGTAGCAAACCGAGAGCAGACTCACCTCGGACCGAACAGCCGCACAGAACCAGAACCAGCGCCAGCAGCAGCAGCACCGCCGTCCTCATTGTGTCCGAGCAGAAACACAAAGCGACACTGTTTTAATCGGTCTCTGCTTCGGACTCAAGCCGGAATCCGCGTTGACAAATACGGGAAGACAGGTTGGAGGTTTTGACGCGTTTGACAAGTCTGATCCTGCTTCCGTGTACAAATCAAGCCTGCTTCTTCTTTGTCGTTCCTATGGGGGTTTTTGGCGGTGTGGATCCGGACGCTGCTGCCCCCCGCAGGACGAAACGTGTTCAATTGGTGATTCTCATTTTGGGTTAATAAATATTTAATGGGAAATGACAAGACTCCTAGGTCTGATATCTCTTATATTTGTATTAATTATTATTTATATTGCGCATGTACAGTTTAGTTTTTTGGTCAAAAGCTGCTCAAAATATGTTGTGCACCATTTTATCACATATAGTGTATATATATTTTTAATTATAGTCGTATATTTTCTATTTTATTTTATAATATTAATATTTTGTGATTGTTTATTGTACTTCTGTACTTTTTGCTCTACATTCCCCTGTGCTGCTGTGTCTAATTAGAATTTCTCCTACAGGGGATCAATAAAGGAATATCTTATCTTATCTTATCTTATTTTATCTTATATAAACGTTTCCTTTCTTTCCTTCCTTTTATATTAGTTACATTACAGGGAAACATGCTTGATAGTTTAAGGACATATCATACATTTCTTTGACAGCTCTGATAAAAAAATTTTTTTATGATTTTACATTAAAAAGACGTTATGATCAACGTACAAAATACAATTTGTCGAAAACTAATCCAGTGGCTGGATTTATTTTGTGATGGCATTGGAAGGGCCCGACCTGTATTTTGGAAGCCACCGAACTAAACTACCAAACTAGACTGTACAAGGCAGTTAAAACTCCACTGATTCACCAATATTAATAATTAAATGGTATAAAATATAACACATAGTTTTTGATATTTTGAGTACATTTTAAAATGACTTTACTTGTAATAGTGTACTTATACACTGTGGTATCCCCGATCCCTCAAAAATATGCTTTTCTTGTTGTTCCTAAAGTGTGATGTTTAATCTTTACTGTGCAGAATGATGTATGTGCAGAGTTTGATACTAAAAGGATGTTTTCACATTCATCTGCTGAAAGTGGAAAGTTTCTCTGTGCTTGTTGAAAATCAGATTTTAAGGGGTGGGGACAAATAGTTTGAAGGTCAACACTGGTCCAGAATGCAACTTATATATGTGATGTAGAAACCTGAAGCCACCATTGCACATACGCTGAGAATGGACTTTACAGTGAAGTAGAAGACATCTTGTGTCCAATAATTTGGAATTTATAATGTGGTATAAGGAGTAGATTAAAGATCTTAAAGAGGAAATTATACTTTTTTGCAGAAGAAACATGTCAGACACACATTGTTGTTCAGACTATTTGTATATTTGCCTTAATACATGTCTGGAGGGGATCTCAAAAGTAAAAGATCTCAATACTTCTTCCGCCACCATTATTCGCCAGAGTAATGAATGCTCTTTTCTTCAACCCTTATTCTCAAGAGTTAACCACATTGCCATGAGCTGCCTCACACAACATATAGGGACTATCACCTTTCTTTGCATGCATTCATGCAGGCTATCTGTTTTCTTGCTTAAGGCATGACTTATCTATTCATCACACCTTTCTTTTCCATGAACGCGTGTGATGTTTCACTGGGAACAAAGGGATAAGTAGGTGAATGTATTGCTGAGTGAAAAAGTTGCACATATAGGCTACTTACTGGAAAATTAAATGTCTTCCACAGTAAATGGAAACTTCACATTTTGTTGGTTAAACAGTCCTATTTGTCCTTTAAACTTCAATATTTAACTGATTTTAATTAAAGGTCGAGTTGTATAACACTATTGACATAACTGCACGCGAAACTAACAAATACAATTGACTTTTTCAAGTTTCAATCAGATTCAAACACCAACATTCACTGTCTTTTATCATCATAATCCATAAAAATACCGCTTCCATCTACCTTTTCTTAACAATTTCAGATTCCTCCAATCAGGTGTGACGAGGTGAACTCCCTGACCCTGAAACCTTGGATCAATTTAGCAAGAAGATATCATCCGACTAGATACAACCAAATCTAAATCTCAACCCAAAGTCACTGGGATGAGAGTTAAAGTCACACTTTTTCATTCCCAATCAATCCCATCATTGAAGTGATTTGAACACGCCATACACGCAGCTAAAGTCAGCCTTCCATACATCATCTAAATGCTGTATGCTGGTATATGACAACTGTTCAAACTGGGAGGTTGTAAAAGCTCCTCGTCCCGTTTTCAAAAATAATCATTGCCTTTTTACTTCACATATACATACACTTATCTCTGTAAACTACATAAGCTTTTGAGGTATCACAGAGCATGTTTGCACATTTGACCTATTGACTTGAGCTTACTGTGTCTGTGAATCTTTAACATACATCGGTTTTTTGTTGTGTTGACTTATTAAATACACTTTCTCTTGCTTTTATTTACCATATTTGGTGTTACGGTAATCAAAAGTAATGGAAAGTAGTTGCGTTATTTTGATATAGTGATACTTTGATTAGGTTACTGACTACAGTTTTTAACAGGTAATTAGTGATTGATTGATTGATTGATTGGATTACATTTTTAAAGTAACCCTCCCAACCTTAAATCTTGGTATAGACAGATACTCAGTTGGAAGACAGGACTGACATGGCTGCATTATTTGGTTTCATTTGAATGACAAATGTGGAAACGGAGACTAAATATTTAGACCAGATGCAGATACAGATTCTACTGTATGTGTGGCTGACATCCTCCTATTGTACTTACATCCCATTGTACTCAACTGACCTGGACTTGTAAAGGTACAGAGAGCAATGAACAAATGTTAGATTTATTATTATACAAGATTTCTTTTTTTTTTTTCTAATGATCCACCACAGGAGGAGAGGAGGAGATAACATTTGTGTTAATACTGCCTCCCATAGGTTAGGTGCTGACATGATGGGGATATTCACTCCACATGTGGTGGTTGTGCCAGTATTTGACCTTATCAGCAGATGGCAGTATTGATATACAGTGAAAAAAAAGCCACGAAAAAGCACATCATGACATCGGATTACTTTATGTGATTGTGTGGGTTTGCAAAAACTAACAAATGATCTTCTAATAACTTGTTCAAAATAGTGTTAATTCTAGATAGTAAAATACCATTAAGTAAAATAATTAACATAAAGTAAAATAAAGGAACATTATACAATACAATTACAATTGAAAGTGTGCAGAAGCTTTAGAGATGAGATAATCATTAAAATGTTAATTGTAGGTGTTTTACATCTCAGCTGGGTGCGGGGGACCTGTGGGTTCTTGTAATGAATATGTCTTAATTGTGGCAGGCTGTTTGACATTTGAAAAGTCCGATGATCCCTCTCATTCTTGACACTCATTTGCATTTCCATCTTTAAGGTCAAATGGGTATGAATAATACATTAAGGAGGTTCTTAAGCTCACAGCCAGCCATACCTATCTTCACAAAGGCACCAGCTGAGTCTAGCTAAGCTCAGTGAATGTTACAGAAACAATCAATTAATATCACTTTGGGAAACCACATGTGACACATACATAGCATCCTGTTTTTAATGGAAATATAAGGTCATAAGTCAATGGAGGGTATAGAATCAGCATTTTCTGATAAGTCTTATGTAATGTACTTTATCTGAAGATCACAATGATATGAAATCATTATGGTCAGCCCTTATTGTTGTGTGTGTATTCAGACTAAATGTTGGGTGTGTGTTTTTGTGGTTTTCAATTAAAGTGGTTTTTTTTTGTTACAGTATTGTGACTCCTCAAATGACAGCTCTTGGTGCAATATTACGCATGTGAACTCTGAAGGGGTTAACCTGGAATAAATTCAAGATCAAAGGAAGGCCCAAAAAAGAACCTTGGCAAGAGATTGGAAGAATTTAATGAGCAAAAATTAACATGTATTAAATCTGACCTCGTGCTTACATGGCAGATGTTGAGCGGAGCAGCAACCAGATACGTTATTAGAGATAAACAGTGGCGTGTTACATTTTGAGTGGAGCATGGGAATTTTAAGATAATACACCGTTTATTCAATTTCAAATAGATATTTTGTTTAAACAGTGCTAAAATGCCTTTGCTTTAAAATCAGCGTGTTTAAATAGATTTAATGAGATATAATAAAACTTATACAAGATAAAAATAAACAGGCACAGGTAGAGAAATGTATTTAATAGAAAAACAACCTGGCATTTGTAGCCATTCACGTGGGGACTGAGTTTCATAATAAGGGTACTGTCTTAGGAGAATTGAACATTGCAATGGATGTACTATATGGCCTTGAGGAGACAGATTTGCTGGCTGTTTTGACAACTCATTACCTGTAATTTCACTGACGGATTGGTGAAGTGGCTCAGAGTAGGCAGCCGTGGCACCAGAGACTGTGCAGTTTGTGCCTGGAATGATGTAAGATATAGAGCGGCAAACAAGCAAAGACTTATTATGGCTAATGATTGCTTAAAGCATAGCGGGGGACAGTGACACTTTGGTGCTTCTTCCTGGGGAGTTGAAACGGAAACGCATCTGCTGTCCACCTGTGTGTTTTAAAGAAGTCTGTCTTAAGACACTGACGTCAGACAATAAATTGATGATAAATTATATTTGCTCAGTAAAATCCTAGTTATTTTTGACAATGTCAACATCATTATTGTTTAAAATGAAAACTACTGAATGGTCCAACTGGCTCAAAGACTGCTGAAAAGTAACATTTCAGCTCTGTACGTCTCCCAGTAGGAAAGATCTTGATTTTGTCTCCAAGTCAGTAGGTGGGGGGGTGGGCATCAGTGGGCTCGTCCAGGCCAGTACCCCCCACCAACCCCCTCCCACTCCGACATAATTGGTCCATCCCTGGCACTACTCCTCATCTCCAAAGCCACCAAAAACTGTAACCTACCTTGTGTATTTTTCACTAATTGA